CTATTAGGCAGTGTAATTTACTAGCCTAATATTTTCTAATACTTCACAGAAGAATGGAGAAACCAGTTAAAAAATTAATCCCATGAGTTGAAACTATTGTAATAGCATCATAACTCCTAAAGAAATAGTGTGCCTTTATAACAGATTTTCCATGAAAAATCCTCAAACTCAACACTAAATGACTGCATCAGTAGCAATAGCATTTATACTTATATACCACTTCACAGTGCTTTACAGCCCTCTAAGCAGTTTATAGAGTCAGCATATTGCTCCAGCAATCTGGGTCCTCATTTTAGTGACTTCAGAAGAATGGAAGAGCTTGGTGAGATTTGAACTGTCAAATTGCAGGCAGCTGGCAGTCAGCAGAAGTAGTCTGCAGTATTGCATTCTAACCACTGTGTTACCACAGCTCTTAGAATGTTCTTCAAGTGCCTTAAGACTTACAGGCTCATTTCTAGCATTTTGAAAGGGAGGAAAAGAAATTTCTAGTGGATGTGTCCTGTTTTGTAAAGAATGTAAAATTTGCTCCTGAAGTCAAGTTAATGGATTCATTCCACAAATGTTTGCTAAGTTATTCCAACGCACCAGGAGGCTCCCCAATGGCTATTGCCATTCAAAAACTTGGATTCAGGCATGCTTTGTGCATTAAGAGCACCAGCTACCAGTATTAGAGACGGGGGACTTGGGGCCTTTACATCCACAAGGACTTCTTTCCTCCAAGAAAAGGCTCATTTCGTTTTTGCAAAGCTCTGTTTGTGCAGTAAGAGAGAAAATGCACAAATCTTTTCTTGGATTGTCTATTAAAGAACATTCTCATTCTAGGGCTCTGATCCCTTTGAGGAGGTCACTGTGGACTTCACAGAAGAGGAATGGACACTGCTGGATTCAGGCCAGAGAGATTTGTGCAAAGAAGTCTCATTGGAGGCTTTTAGGAATATGTCTGCTGTGGGTAAGGTTCCACTTTGCTCTAGGTTCCATTAATTGGGGAAAGTTATTTCTGTCATAGGTAAAAAGGGAAGATCATGCACTCAAATTGCTTAAGGTGACCTTCTTTACTTAAGGCCTTGTTAGAAATGCTCACCATAGCTTTGGAAATATCCCAGATTGCCCAATCAATAGCAAAGTCTTAATGTGGTTTCCAATTGAAAAAAATCTCTTGGATATCATCAGAATTTTCCAGTTAACAATTTGCACTCAACATCTCCAAGCTGGATTCATGGCTGATGGCATATAATGCAGATGGGCATACTTTTTAGAGCAGAAGAGCCCCAGAACAGCTGTTTATTTTGACATAATTTTATTAAGGATTATTGTATTTTTAGAATTATAAGACGCTTCGGAAAATAAGATGCACGTTAGCTTTAGAGGAGGAAAACAAGAATACCGGATGGATGTCTCTCAGCATCCATCCGGTATTCATCTGGCTAGCATCCTTACAGCAAACAGCCTGGACAGCTTCAGCATGTTATCCCAGCCCCAGCATGTGGCTCGTAAGGACTCCGTTCTGTTGCGCACACACTGTTGCACTCAATTGAGCTGAGATGCTGCTGCCACCAGCCTTTGCTGCTGAGCAGCTGGTTGTTTGATTGGCCTCCCAGAATATCACCCATCAGCTATTCTAGGCGATCGGGAACACCATAGCCACCGTTCGCTGCCCAGCGCCACCACTGAATTGCGGTGATCGGCAGCAGTGATCCCCGCTGCCTAGAACACCAAACCCCCTCCCCCAAATATTCACTTTATAAGCTGCACAGGCATTTCCACCCACTTTTGCAGATAAATTACACAAAAGGAATTTAAAAATACATTAAAAATAAAAAATATTTAGAAAACAGAAATTCCCCTGTATGTGTGTGCATGTATATGAAATTTGCCCCTTCATCTCCATCATGTATGTTCAATGTTAACAACTTATCACTGTCTTTTATAGTACAACCAAAATACTCTTCATTCCATACATCACCCAATATTCTATAAACTCATGTCTAAAACTTCTGATCTTACTAATTAGCCAAGAAATAGTAAAAAAATAAAGCTAATGATATAAGTATTTACTAATATAGTCCCCATTTCCATTTAGTCTGCCTTCCACACACCCTTTTTAAACAAACTTTGCAAAAAAGGAATTTAAAACTATTAAACATTACCAAATCCCTACATAGTGTCTTGTTCATCACCTATTAAACATTTCTACAAGAAACACTATCCATTCCAAACAATTCAACATCAGCAGAAATAACTCATTTTACCAATAATCAGAAAAGGCAATATTATATTTTTTCCTCCCAACCATTCTTCAACGATATATTTGTTTCTACTATCCTTTTCCTTTTTCTTCAAATTCTTATATATCAAATCCACTTGTAATTTTCCTGAAATGACTCCAAAAATCTTTTACATTTCAATTTAAAATGGTATCATCCAACTGCATTTATAATTCCAGTGAACCCTTGTCTGCAGTCTCCAGAGAGGTTTGTTGGTTTTCGTTAGTAACCCCTGTTTTCAGTAAAGAGATAAAAAGGATCAAAAACTTCAAATAAGTAAAAGTCAAACATTCCCTTAAAGTAGCCACCTTGTGCTCTGGTAATAAACCTTCAAGGTTTGGCTTTACAATTCATACATAAACAAAACAGATTTTTCCCATATAGGATGCTCTTTCTAATTAACTTCATAAATTTTTAATCAGTTTCACAAAGCATTTAAAAGCTTTCAAAAAACAACTAAAATAACCTATTCCCTGTATATTGCAATAGATTACAAAAATAATTTAGAAAGCTGCAAAGCTATGATATTCTTTTAAAATGGACTGAAGAGAATGCCATCCAGTAATTGATAAGGTTGCATTTATGGTTCAGCACATCATGGAACCCACAACTTTTAGCTGATCACAAACAGCTGCAGAAATGAAAAGTTTTGCTGTTTGCTTACAAAAATCAGATGTATAAAGTAAATGTGGACAATCTTCAGTTGTTCTAGGGGAAAAAATCAGCTATCCAAACTTGACATCTAACCGGCCAAATCCCCAACAGAAAAATGGGGGTGTTGGTTCTCTTCACCACACAAGATGTTATCTCCTCCTCCCTAACAGTTCTAAATTTCAATAGGGATTTCTATTTTTTTTCTTCAAAGCAGATGATGGAATGGAGAATGAGAAGGAGGAAAAGTTAATGCCACTGCAAACAACAAGTTATGAAGGAGAACTTACTGATCATGAAAGGATTCACACAGGAGTGAAACCATATAAATGTACAGAGTGCGGAAAGAGATTTTGTTTCAAGCGTAATCTTAAGCGCCATGAGAGGATCCATAGCGGGGAGAAACAATATAGCTGCATGGAGTGTGGAAAATGTTTCACTCAGAAAAGTACTCTTTCTGAACATGAAAGGGTTCACACAGAAGTAAAACCATATAAATGCACAGAGTGTGGAAAGAACTACCGTTTCAGGTGCAATCTTAATCGCCATGAGATGATCCATAGACGGGAGAAACAACATAGCTGCAGGGAGTGTGGAAAGAGATTCTTTCAGAACACAGCTCTTACCATCCATCAAAGGAGTCACACAGGGGAGAAACCATATAAATGCCTGGAGTGTGGAAAGAGTTTTATTTCAAATGGAAATCTTAATGCTCATAAAAGAATCCACACAGGGGAGAGACCGTTTAAGTGCATGGAGTGTGGAAAGCAGTTCATTCGGAAAAGAGATCTTACTGATCATGAAAGGGTTCACACAGGAGTGAAACCATATAAATGCACAGAGTGCGGAAAGAGATTTCGTTTCAAGCGTAATCTTAAGCGCCATGAGAGGATCCATAGCGGGGAGAAACAATATAGCTCTGTGGAGTGTGGAAAAAGTTTCACTCAGAAAAGTTCTCTTTCTGATCATGAAAGAGTTCACACAGAAGTAAAACCATATGAATGCACAGAGTGTGGAAAGAACTACTGTTGCAGGTGCAATCTTAATTGCCATGAGATGATCCATAGAAGGGAGAAACAACATAGCTGCATGGAGTGTGAAAAAGGATTCTATGAGAGGACAGATCTTACTATCCATCAAAGGATCCACACAAGGAAGAAACTAAATAGTTGTGAGGAATGTGGAAAGGCTTTTGTTTTAATAGGAGAACTTAATTTTCATAAAAGTCACACAGGTGAGAAAGTAAATAATTGCATAGAGAGTGAAAGTTTCAATTTCAGGAATAGTCTTGATAACCATGAGGGGATCCACAGAAGGGAGAAAAAACATAGCTGCAGGGAGTGTGGAAAGAGATTCTTTGAAAACAGAGAGCTTACTATCCATCAAAGGAGTCACACAGGGGAGAGACCATATAAATGCCTGGAGTGTGGGAAGAGCTTTATTTCAAAAGGAAATCTTAATTCTCATAAAAGAATCCACACAGGGGAGAGACCATTTAAGTGCATGGCATGTGGAAAGCAGTTCATTAGGAAAACACATCTTTCTGCTCATGAAAGGGTTCACACAGGAGTGAAACCATATAAATGTTCGGAGTGTGGAAAGACCTTCCGTTTCAGGAGCAATCTTAATAGTCATGAGAGAATCCACAGAGAGGAGAAACAAAATAATTGAATGGTGTGTGGAAAAGGATATGAGGGGAAACATTACTATGTGTCAATCAATCAAATGTTTATTGTCAGTGCACAACATGTGTACAATGAAATTGAAAAGGATATGCATATAGGAGAGCCCCTATAAACACACTGTATATTCAACAAGCTCCCATTTCAAAAGTTCTCTTAGTTCCCATGAGAGGATGCACAGATTCCTACAGGGAGTCTGGAAAAGGATTCTGTGAGAGGAGAGACCTTGTAGCTATTAAAGGATTCACAGAGTAGAAAGACCGTATAAATGGAAAGAGTATGGAAAGGGCTTCAATACGAACTTTCACGTAGCTCAACACAAGAGATCCACACAGGGATTAAACTGGAACATGGAAAGAGCTTTACTTAGGTGTCAACGTTGAGACAGATTGGGAGTGTCACAGCCATTTTCTCTGTTTCTCAGCTTGACACACTTTGGGGGAAAGTGGGAGCTTTGGAATGTCAGACCAGACATCAACAACTTACTATCTTGTGGGAACCAAGGTTATTTAACAGGTGCTGGCCAGAGACTGGAAGAGGTTTCCAAGGAGATGCCAGAACACCTGACTGAACAATGTGACCTGTGACAAGGAGGGAGGAAGCTGTCTAATCTTTTACTGAAAGTGTGGGAAATAGCCAGAGCTGATTTTGTTTTTCAACTGTGCTGAAATGATGTATTCAATAAATCGGTTATTTGAGAAAACTAAAAGTGTCGAGTTGAGTTGCTGGATTGGTTGGGTTCATTACTTGGAACCTTGACATCTGGAAGGACAAATTAAGTCTCTTAAAAGAATCCATACAATTAGTCCTCTGCTTATAAAAGTTTATTTAGTGAATGTTCAAAGAGTGAAAAAAATGAAATAAAATGAAAAATATGACTTAGATCAGTTCTCATACTAATGACTGTTGCAGCATCTCCATGATCATGTGATCAAAATTTAGGCACTTGCCAACTGGCATGTATTTATGATGGACTGGACCAGAGACTGGAGATTATGAAGAACAGATACAGGAACTGGGCCTGGCAAGTCTACTGAAAAGAAGGACCAGGGGAGATATGATAGCAGTCTTCCAATATTTGAGGGGCTGCCTCAGAGAGGAAGGGGTCAAGCTATTTTCCAAAGCATCCGAAGGCCAGACAAGGAATAATGGATGGAAACTGAACAAGGAGAGATTTAACCTGGAAATAAGGAGACACTTTCTGACAGTGGAAACAATCAACCCATGGAACGGAAGTTGCCTTCGGAAATTGTGGGAGCACCATCACTTGAGGCTTTCAAGAAGAGATTGGACTGCCATTAGTCAGAAATGGTGTAGGGTCTCCTGTTTGAGCGAGAGGTTGGACTAGATGACCTGCAAAGTCCCTTCCAACTAATTATTTGTTATCTGGTTGCAGCGCTCTGGGGTCAGATGATCTCCATTTGTAAGCTTTCAACAATCGATGGGTAAGGGAGAGTCGCTTATCTACCGCGTTTCTCACAAAATAAGGCTGGGTCTTATTTATTTTTTTTGACCCCTGAAAAAAAGGCTAGGCTGTCTTTTCGGGGGGGGTGATTTAATTCCCCCCCTTGCATCCTCGGGTGGGCGGGCAGCGACGGCTTGGATGTGGACCTCGGCATTGGTGGGGCACTTCGTATTGGGAGACCTTCCACCATCGTTGCTTTCCCTTCTTCTGTGCTGCCGTGGCATTTACAGCAACGCTGCGGCATTTGGCACAGCCACGTGCGGCCAGCCAGGGCTCCTCCCTGCAACCGGAGCCTGGCGGTGACACTCGGCTTCCGGCACTCCTGTTGCCGCCTTCCCTTTGCCTTTGAAGGCAAAGCCAATTCTTTTAAAAACGACACCCTACTACTGGTACGACAAAGCCTCCCCTGCTCAAGAGGGGCAGCCCAACCCCACGTGGGGAGGCGAATCTCCTGGGGCCATAGTCCAGGGTCGGCCCGCCCCGGGAGAAGCACCCAGCCACTATTCCTGCCTGGCGCTGGGCAGAGCACAAAGATCTTTGCCTGGGGTGCCCAGCGCAGCTGACAGGCATCCCCACCGGACCCTCTGCTCATCTCACCAGGGCTGCGCCAGAGCTTTTCAGGCTGGACAGAGCCAGGAAAGCGAGCCGTGGGTACGCGCCCGCCTGCCAAACAAAAGAGCCAGGCCGATCTGAGCTTGGCTTCCCAACCAAGTCCCTCCAGCCCGAATCAAGGGCCACCGGGAGAGGCTGCCTGTCCGCAGACAGGGAGGTATGATGGCAGCACTGCTTCCCTGGCCGGCGGGGAGAGCCCGAAGCCTCCCATCCTTTCCACCCCTCACCCAGCCCATGCCCGTCCCCACGCATCTCCAAATGCGCCGGCAGCTCCAAACGCTGCAGCGGCATGGGCATCGGGCAGAGGTCCTGACTCAGTGGGGCTCAGCTCGGAGGAGGACGTGGCGCAGGCTCTCGCCTTGCCCCTGTCCATGGGTGGGCGCTATCACTGCCTCGGGCGGCCTCTCCCAGTGGCCCCTTCAGGCACTTGGCAACTGGGAGGCTTTGTCGTACCGGTTGTAGGGCGTCATTTTTAAAAGAATTGGCTTTGCCTTTGAAGGCGAAGGGAAGGCAGTGACAGGAGTGCCTGAAGCAGAGTGTCTCTGCTGGGCTCCGGTTGCAGGGAGGAGCCCTGGCTGGCTGCACGTGGCTGCGCCAAATGCCGCGGCGTTGCTCTAAACGCCACGGCAGCATGGGAGAAGGGGAAGCAACGGTGGCGGAAGGTCTCCTGATATGAAGTGCCCCGCCAAAGTCAACGCAGGCAGCACCATATCCGGGTCTGCAACAAAAGTACTTCCTAATGACAAGCCCCTCCGCCATTCCCCCCCCAATTTCGCATGTTTAATATAGGCCTTAATTTGGGGGGGAGGGGCTTAATTTGATTTTATGGCGATAAAACATGCTGGGACTTCCTATTGGGGGAGACCGTATTGTTGGAGAAACACGGTATATCATTCACTTTAAAAGTGCAGTGATTTGCTAATGTTTGCAAACTGAGATGTAACTGCTTGCTTAGCAAGGGAAATCTTGGACTGAATTGTCGTAAGTTGAGAACTACCTTTATTATTGTCCTTCCTGATGAAATATCAAAAGGATTGATTCCATTAAAAGATTTTATTGGTTGAAGGGAGCTGTTTGTTCTCCATGAGCAAATTAAGTTCCTCAGCAGAAATGTCAAGCCTTTACACCTAAGCATTTAGCCAGAGAGTTTGAACCAGGGTAAGGGATGTCTCCATTTTTCTGTGCTCCATGTACTGATTGGCAAGTAAATCACATTATTGCATTGATTTTGTTATTATGCAGAAATATTCCAAAGCTCCAGTTTATATTCAGATGACATTAATTGCCCATACATGTAAAAGTTGTTTCTATGTTTTAATCCAGATTAGGAAATATTTGGAGATGTTAAAATGCAGGCTTTTTTGGAGGGCAAATAGTTGAACATATCAGCATCAGCAAAAAATGTCTTGGCCTTGACATGTAACAATATATGGAGAAGGCTAGCTCAAAGTTTGTAGTGGGCTTGTGGCAGTCATACTTTTTAATCTTTACCAAAATCCTGAAAAGAAATTTGCACTGTTTCTTGACTGGATAGAGATTCATCTGGTCCTACCATAAGAAATTAAATTACCAAGTTAAATATTATTTCAAGTATAATTATAAAACAAGAAGAGTGCTTGGTTCTGGCATGCAAATATACAGTAAATTATAAGACATTCATATTTTTGCTGCATTTTGTTGTCAGTCAGTTTTAACATTCTTATTTATAAATGACACCTCAAAGAGCCATAAGCTGCTTTGGGTAAAATCTTTTCTCTGAAAATGTAAATGTTGCAGAATAAGCTGTCATTAGTTCATTTATTAGTAGAGGGTATGCAGTCTGCACGTACATTAATGAATGCTTTCTGGAATTTTCATGAAGGCTCAACTTCATAAGTTAGAATAGTTATCTCTAGTCCAAATGGAATATATTCAAGAAACTTTACTTGCCATTGTTATTACATTTGTATTCCTTATACTTTGATGTTGTCTTATGCAAAGTATTCATGTCCGATCAGTTAGAAAAGCAGTTGGATTTGTGGTTTCAATAGCAAACTCACAAGTACCCTACCTTGGCTGGTAGGGTTTGTGGCTAACTGCTTATACCTTCCTTCCAGGTTAAGTTGCAGTTTGACAATCAACAATCTAAATAAGGGAACAAAAAGAGCAAAACATCTCACGGGCAATCAGCACCCATATCAGTGTAGATTTACTCCAAAATGGTTTACAATTTTGCAAATATCCCAATCAAGGAACTCCCCCCCCCCAAAAAAAATAAGCAGCCCCCCAAAAGAGGGAACATATTATCATCTGTGGTGGTCCTGCCCAGAGGCTCAAAAATATTGGCTCAAAATCAAAAAATTGGCTACAGGAAATCACCAATGAACAATTAGACCTCCCAGCAGACTGACAAGGGAAAACCACTAGACTAGAATATAAAGTGAGAGCAAATCCCATTTCTTAACTAGTATTAATGATGTTACCAAGGTTTGGTAATGAATGAAACACCTTGCAAGGTGACCAAGTTCGGAGTGAAAGAAAGGCCGCTCTGCTAAGGCAATTTTTTAATGGTCCTAAGGGACCTGAGCATGCGCATAAGACTTGACAAAAATTCTCTGGGATGCAGATTATAAAAGGCTTTGGAGTGCGCTGGGTGGGGACGGCGCTCTGTGGTCCAGGCACTCTGTGGGGGGGGGGGGGGGAAACCTCGGGGGGGGGGGGTGACATGCAGCTGCTTTTCTCAACCTCAGAAGCCTGAGGGACCGGAGCCCCCCTTCTCTCTCCTCGAAACGGGGGGGGCGGCTCGGCGTCAAAGTGTCCGCCGTGACTGAAATCGGCCTCGGAAGGAGTTTCCACACCGGCCTGCTCTGAAGCCGGAGACCGAATGGAAGCACGAGAGTCCCCCTGGGCGGGAGCAACAGTGGTCCGGCGGCGGAAAGAGTATCCAGAGATACCTGTCTGAGGGGCTCCGCAGTTCCGAGGCTGAGCTCTGGCGCTTCCGCAGCTGCGTCTCCCGGGAGGCCGAGGGGCCCCGGGCGCTTTGCAGCCGCCTGCACCGGCTGTGCCGGGGGTGGCTGCAGCCCGAGCGGAGCAGCAAAGCCGAGATGCTGGACCTGGTGGTGCTGGAGCAGCTGCTGGCCCTGCTGCCCCCGGAGCTGTCGGGCTGGCTGAGGGAGTGCGGGGCGGAGAGCTGCGCCCAGGCGGTGGGAAGAGCTTCAGTACAAACTCTAATCTGGCTCTACACTTAAAAGATTCACACATGGGATAAACCATATAAATGCATAGAGTGGAAAGAGCTTTAGTCAGAAACCTCTTCATTCTCATCAAAGGCTCCACTCAAGAGAAAGACTATAAATGCACAGACTGGAAAGAGCTTCAGTACAAACTCTCATCTGGTTCGACACTTAAAGATTCACACCGGATAAACCATATAAATGTATGGGGTGTGGAAAGAGCTTTTTTGAGAATAAAGTGCTTACTTGTCACCAAAAAATCCACACCGGGAATAAACCATTTAAATGCACAGAGTGTGGAAAGAACTTCATTCAGATAGGACAACTTAATTCTCATAAAAGAATCCACACCGGGGAGAAACCATATAAATGCGCAAAGTGTGGAAAGAGTTTTTGTTTCAAAAGTTCTCTTAATTGCCATGAGAGGATCCACATAGGAGAGAAACAACACTGTTGTGGAAAGTGTGGAAAGAGATTCATTGAGAAGGGAGTCCTTACTGTTAGGGATACACCCTAGCAGAATCTGCAAGGCAGGCAGGCAAAATATGTGAGATAAACATTTTTGTAGCTTACACTCAGTAAAACAGATACACCGTGCTAGTTAAATAGTTTATTCCAGCAATAGTTTTAGCATAGTCAAAAACAGTCCATATATCATTCACTAATTCAGTCCGTCCGGGGATTATTCAGTTGCAAATTCCAGTGTCGAAAAAGAGGTCAGTAAACTTACAAATATCAGTCCAGTAATATATCTTCTCGCAGTAGAGATATGAAGAAGTGAAAACCTCCTTTCTTCCTCCAGCGTTCAGCAACTCAGCAGTAGGGAAAACACGCAATTAACAAATCATCAATCCATCAAACCAGTCAATCGTCAGGAATCGTCAGCAATCAAACAGGTTCTCTTGCTCCCTCTTATGGTGGTTTCATACCGCACCCAAAATTACATGCTTTGCAGTTTAAAGTGACACACACTTAAACTTACTATCATAGTTTATATATATTATTTTACCCAAACTACGTTAGGTATGTTATTCCTAACTACGTTAGGTATGTTATTCCTAACACTATCCATCAGAGGATCCACATTATAAATACCTGAAGTGTACAAACGGGTACTAAGAAAGGACAACTTAATTCTCATAAAAGAATCCATACTATGGAGAGACCATACAAAGTAGTTCTCAACTTACAACCATTCATTTAGTGACTGTTCAAAGTTGCAATAAAAAAAATAAAATATTGTAAAATGAAAAAAGTTACTTAGATCCATTTTCACATTTATAAACTTTGCAGGATCCCCATGATCACATGACCAAAATTCAGGCATTTGGCAACTGGCATGCATTCATGATGTGACCTTCATTTGTAAACTACCAACGAACACAATGATGGAAAGCAGATTCGCTTAACAACTACATGTTCACTTAAGAACTGCTTTGATTTGCCTAACAACTATAACATAAAAAGTTGTAAACTAGGGCGCAACTCAGTTAACTATCTTACCAAGGTTGGGCTGAATTGTGGTTGTAAGTTGAGAACTATTTGTACTACTGTCTTTCCTTTTGAAATATGAACAGACATGATTCCATTAACTGATTTTGTTGGTGGAGAGGAGAGAGGTTCCTCATCAGCAAATTTTATTCTTTGTGACAGTGGCAAATTTTATACTTATATGTCAAGCCTATGCACCTCAGCGTTTAGCCACTTAGGAAGTAGAACTTCCAGATATTGCAAGTGTGATTTTCAACCAGAGTAAGGAAAGTCGTCATTTTTTGGTGCTATGTGTATTGATTGGTGAGTAAATCACATTACTGCATTTTTTTAATTATGCAGCATATTATAATGCCCCAATCGATTTTCAACTACGTTAATTGCTGAAACAGGGAAGTGGTGTTTCTCCCATACTTGTTTTAATCCTGATAATTACAAAGTATCTGCAAACATTAAATTACAATTTTATACATGGCAAATATCCAAACGTAATGGCACTCATACTTTAAAGAATGTTGCCTGTGGCTTGACATATAACTCTATGCAGCAGATTAGCTAGTAGATGCATTGAAGTTGTGCCATTCATAGTTTTAAATCTATACCAAATTCCAGGCAAGGAATTTGTAATGTGGACAGCAGGAGTTCCCCTGGTCTCAGCACAAGAAATTAAACTACCAAAGGAAATGGTCTTTTAGACATAGCTTATAAAACATAGGGGGTAGTTTGTGGCATGCAGTGACACAGAAAAAATGATAACCAATAAAGACATTCAAATTTTGGCTGCATTTGTTGTAAATCTAAGTTTTAAAGTCTTTATTAATGATGCCTCAAAGAGCCATAAGTTGCTTTTGATAAAATCTTTGATATTGATATAATATAGGAAAATAGGATATTGTTATACCAATTATTGGAGTGGCTCCATATAGATTCATGAAAGAATCAGGGGTGTTTCATAAAGGCTTAGTTTCACAACAGAAGTTAGCTAGAATTAGGGATGGAATATTGTCAAGAAACACTTTGCCATAACTGTACCCCTTGTACTTTGAGGTTGTTCTATGTAATGCATTCCTTTATGTTAGTCTGCCACTCAATGCTGCTCATATTCTTTACAATCCGCTCAACAACACACACAAAATATAACACTGGGTCTGATGGGAGAGTCACGTCACTCACCTGAGGTGACCCTCCCATAACAAGATCTACTGAGCACACAAAGCCTTTATAAGCAGAACACCAACAATGACATTCCCTAAATTATGAAGATTTTACTTAGCCTGGTAACGAAATGCTCAGAAACCAACCCACAAGCTCGGAAAATGAATCTCTGCTCTCAAATATAATTAATAGCTGCTGTAGAAAATATTGAAAGCTACTATATATGTTTATATCTTATCCCTTTTTCTCTGTTGCAATTTATTGAGATAACTGGAATTGGACAGTTTGATAAGCAGATCACACCAATTATTCCTGAGAAATTAAGAACTGGCATTACTTTCATATCCAAGAAGGTATATCATCATCTCCTACCCTCATGCTTACCTTCTCAGCTAACAAGTGCTACAATGTTCCTTCTTTTCCAAGGTCCCCTGCCTATTAGTATGTATGTGGTGAGGCTGCATCCCTGGCTGAGGATTAGACAAAGCAGTTCTTGCTATTTAATTTCCTTTGGAATGCACCTCTGCTTCCTTATTAAGCATCAACTGAAAACTCACAAGTAGTCTGCCTTGACCTTAGCTTCATAGCCAACTATTTATGCAGCCCTTCCAGGAGGTTACTACAAGATTTTTGTGTGCTCCGTACCTGACCCCTTTTTTTCTTTGTTTTTCTCTTAAAATTTAGCTAAGACAGAATAGAAATAGACAACATGTCAATGACTTCTTCAGCTTCAACCCCAATAACACACGGGCAAATGGTACAAACTCAAGGTAAATCGCTTCAAACTTGATTGCAGAAAATATGACTTCAGCAAGAGCGGTCAATGCCTGGAATGCTCTACTTCAGGGGTCTCCAACCTTAGCAACTTTAAGACTTGTTGGCTGAGGAATTCTGGGAGTTGAAGTCCACAAGCCTTAAAGTTGCCAAGGTTGGAGACCGCTGCTCTACTCCATTACAGCCTCAACCCCTCACAGCTTCAACCTCAAACTGTCTACCATGGACCTCACCTCATTCCTAACAGGTCCTTAAAGGGGGCGTGCATAAGTGCACCAATGTGCCCACCGTCCCTGTCTTACTGTCCCCATTTATCTGTATTTACTTCCTTTTGTTCCTGCTTATTATGTTCATACTTATACCTGCTATCTTGTATATGTTTGACAAACAAATAAAAAAAAAAACACAAACCAAATAAGTGATCGCCAACTGTGGACCAGTGGTGGTCCGCAATAAAATTTTGGTGGTCCTCAGATAAATGTCATCCCCAAAGCTGCGCAGGAACACAATCCAGGCTGCGCAGGAACACAAGGCCCACACGGCCCCTGGGAACACAAGGCTTGCGTTGCTTGCATTGCAAATAACAAGGTAGTGAGGGGAGGGGAGAAAGAGCACACTTGTTGCACTTGCCACATGTGCCTTACCTGGCCACTGGGCTGCTTCTTTCCACTTCTGCTTTTGGCTGCACACAAGGAAAGCAGCAAAAGTCTTTTTTTCTCTCTCCCCCAAACGAGTCTTTGGGACCCTGCAAGGCATCCTTGCTCCAAGAGGCAGCACTGGCAGGACAAGTCTCACAAAGACTCATTTCTGACGAGAAAGAACGACTTCTGCTGCTTTCTTTGCATGAAGCCAAAAGTCTCTCTCTCTCTCTCTCCCCGCCTTCCCCTGAGAACGGAGCTGGAGATAGTATCCTGTGATCCCAAAACAAGAATGACCAACTGGTAGGAAAACGGGGTGGGGAATTTTCCTGCAGACTTTTTTGGGGGGATTTTCCCAGGGTCTCCGGTCCACGGGATTTAAAATGATAAGTTTGGTGGCCCCTGAGGTCCAGAAGGTTGGCTATCCCTGAAATAAAAGGACAACCTTGGCTCTAGGGGAACAAAAATACCTTCACCATAGGATACAAGAGAATTGAGATGACAGGACAAAGTTGCCTGAAGGAATCTCCAAAGTGTTTATTCGCTTTACTTATTTCATAATAAATAATCTCCTGCCTGGATTCTGGATTTCTGGGGCTTCTATCTCCATCTCTCGTTTCCAGAGCTCCATCAAGTCTCACCACCACCACTTTAATCCCATGTCCCAGGAGAACGTACACATTTCCAAGAGATTCTGGGAAAAAAGACATTCGCAGGGCATAGAAGCAGGCAAACACTTTTCATCCCAATGCCGCTTTGTTTCTTTCAGCCCGTTCCACCCCCAGGGCCCATCCTCCTCCTCGCCCTTTTCACCAACGACTCCTCCACCCCCCCAGCAACTACTCCGCGAGCACAGGTGTTCCAACGGTCTTCGACGTCACAACGGAACAGAGCATGCGCAGAGGATTCTGAAAGGCATTCCCTGCGGCACAGAAAACAAGGGCCTCACGCTTGCGCTGGGGGCGGGGTAGAGCGCGCTCGTCCAGCGGAGGAAAGAACGGTCCCCTGTAGATTTTTTTTTCCTCTCTAGGAAAGAGAACTCTACCCCTAGGAGGTCCAGCCTCTAGGAGGCCAGGACGGTGCGTGAAATTTTGGCGGGAACGATTTGCAGCTTCTCCGCTGAGGCGCAAAAGCCCTGAGGGAGAAGAGCCCACTCCTTCTCCCCCGCCCACCCACGCCGTGAAACCGGGAAAGGGGCGGGGCAACTGGTTGGGGGAAGGGTCCGCCGTGACCGAAGGCGGCGCCCTCGGAGGGAGTTTCCCCCCGTTGGAGCTGCGCTGAAGCCGGAGACCGAATGGAGGCACGCCGAAGGTCTCCCCTTCATGCGGGGAGCGGTGCGGGAAGTGGCGGCCCGAGCGGCCTACCCGAGGGCCCCCGAGCGCTTTGCAGCCGCCTGCACCGGCTGTGCCGGGGGTGGCTGCGGCCCGAGCGGAGCAGCAAAGCCGAGATGCTGGACCTGGTGGTGCTGGAGCAGCTGCTGGCCCTGCTGCCCCCGGAGCTGTCGGGCTGGCTGAGGGAGTGCGGGGCGGAGAGCTGCGCCCAGGCGGTGGCTCTGGCCGAAGGCTGCCTCCTCGGCCCCTCAGACTCCCCGGAGCCCGGCAAGGGGCGGCAGGTGAGGCATTTTTATCCTGAGCATCCCTGGGGTGGCGAGGCAGGGCGATAAGAGATATCGAGCAGTGAAGAAATCCGTTCGATTTTCCCGAAACTCCTCATTCTTTAAGGTAGGGGTCTCCAAACTTGACAGCTTTAAGACTTGTGGACTTCAACTCCCAGAATTCCTCCTTCAGTCATGTTAGCTCAGGAATTTTGGGACTTGAAGTCCACAAGTCTTAAATTTGCTAAGTTGGAAGACCCTTGCTTTAAGGAGTCATTTTTTCTTCATGCAAATGCTCATTTTTCCTTTTGAAGTTAATTCCATAGAATGAAACATTCAACCCCGAGGGCTATAAGAGGGTCTATGACTTTGAGGGAGGAGGCCAGAATCTCTTCACAGCCCTGTCATTCTTTAATGTATGAATGAACTGATTCATTTGTTCCATATCAGCTGACATTCCTCAAACTCTTCATTCTCATTTATGATATAAGAAATCTAATTTTGAAGTCCTGCACTCCTGCTTCTCTTCTTTACAAACTGTCCCTGGGAACATACATCCACAGAACATAGGCTGGTATGATGTAATAGTCTGTGGGAAGGATGTTAGGGGAATGGTTGAAAAGCCATATTGAACAACCAAGGTATCTAAGTCCACACAAAAAGACTGGGTGTGCATCTTCTGCACAAAACCATCTCGGTGTTCATCCCAAGGTCTGTCCCTGAATTACGTTGCAGGATCTCCCCACTCAAGAGGTAAATATTAAAACTAAAAGATTCCTGGTGGAAGAGATAGAACAGGCACAGGTACATTTACAAAAGAGGAAAAGCCAAAACTATCAAGAGCAGGAGACAAGTAATGTAACAATTCCTGATCAGAGTAAGAGGAAATAAAGATAGGCAATGAAACACTTCACAAAGGTGGCAGCCATGTACTTAAGTAGTTTTCAAATCTGAATCCCTGAGTTCTCTCACTTTGACTTGGGGAATTGCAAAGGTAAGGCAAGCAAACTAACATAATTACAGTCCTATGAGCGTGGATCATAAACTAGGCTTCTCTTTCAGATGCAGGAGCTGTTCACAGGAGAGATCCCAGCAGAGCTACAGGAAAGACGAAATCAATGCAGTCCTTCTCAAGAGTTGCTTTTGGGGAGGCCCCAACTTGAGCCATTTCAGCAGGTAATTAGGTTTCTTCTGAGAGCAGCAGAGTTCAAGCTCCCTTCCTGAGCTCTTCTTCTGCAGTTTAGGCAAATGCTGAGTCTGTGTGTAGTTAAACAGTGTCTCTCCTCCCTCCCCTCCCCACAAAATGAGGACAGGTTTCTCATGAAAAAGCCCTAAGATCAACACTAAATGGTTGCAACAGTAAGACTGTTCTTCAAGTGCCTTTAGATTTCCAGGCCCTTTTGAAATAAGCCATGGAAGAAATTCCTAGTTTACAAAAGAATGTAGAATTTCCTTCCCCAAGTCAGGTGAGCCTCTGGAATCTATTCCCCAAATCCCACTTGTTGAGTAATTCCAAACAAGCAGGAAGCAACCTAAATGGTGCTGTGTTGCTAGTTAGCAACTTGGATGGAGTCATATTTTGTGCACTTAAGAACACCAGCTATTAGGGCAAGGGAAACTGGCGGCTTCACAGTCAAGACCATGTGAACATCTAGATGTAAATTTGCCCTATAAGAAAATGCCCATTTGGTTTCATGTAAAGTTCTGTTTTATGTAGTAAGAGGGAAAACTTTTTTTCTGGGACAATCTTCTATACAACATTCTCATTCTAGTGGTCTGATCCCTTTGAGGCGGTCACTGTGGACTTCACAGAAGAGGAGTGGGCGCTACTGGATTCTGACCAGAGAGCCCTGTGCACAGAAGTCACATTGGAGGCTTTTAGGAATATTATTGCCTTGGGTAAGTCCCCACTTTGCTCAGGGTTCCATTCATTAGGGAAGGAAGGTCTTTTTTTCTGGGGTGGTGGTGGTAAATAAAAAAGATACTTGCAGTCAAGTTGCTTCTTAAGGCCTTGTTAGAAATGCTTACAATAGTTTTGGGAAACTCCTAAGATTGTCCAGTCAACAGCAAAGTCTTAATGTGGTTTCCATCTGAAAAATCCTTTGGATATCGTCAGAATTTCATAGCTTACAATTTGCATCCAAGACCTCCAAGTTGCGTTCAAAGCTGATGCTATATACCTGGAATGCAGATTGAGCATGTTCTTCTGAGGAGAAGACCCTTCCTTAACAGCTGGTTTTTTCCCGACATAATTTTATTAAGGATTATCTTAAATAAACACATAAATCAATGTAATGCCAAATAAATAAGAAAGAAAAGAAAAAATATTTAGTAAATACAGAAATACCCCCGTACCTACATTTGTATGTATATGAAAGAAATTTCTCCATCTCTAACAAGTACGTTCAATATTAACAATTTATCAAAATACCTTTTCATTCCATATGTCACCAATATTCTATGAACTCTAAATCTTCAAATCTTACTATTCACCAAAGATCCAGTAAAAATTAACAAAAATACCCAGTAACATAAATACTTAATAATATATTTCTCATTTTTACTTAGTCTTTTACTACAATTAAACTTAACTATTAAACTTTGCAAAAAAGGAATTAAAACTATCAAATGATACCAATTCCTATATAACTTCTTCCTCCCACTATCATTAAATCCCATAATTTTTTTCTATATTCTTTTCACTCCGAATTCTTATCATCCTTCAAATTTTCTTGTAATTTCCCTGAAATAATCCAATAAATCTCTTATATTTCAAATTAAAATAGTATCATTAATTTGCATTTATAATTCCGGTGAAACCTTGTCAGTTGTCTCTGATTCCAGTAAAGAAAAACAAGTTAAAAAAATGCAAAAGTGCATAAATGAAATATTTGCTTTAAAATAGCCACCCTGTTCTCTGGTAATCAATTCAAAATTTTGCTTTACGATTGATATGTAAACAAGACATTTTCTGGTACAAGATTTTCTTTCTAATTAACATCATAGACTTTAAATCTTTTTCAAAAAATATTTTAAAGTTTTCCAAAAACAACTCTAAAATAATCTTTTGCTTGTATGTTGCAGTAGATTTCAAAAAATAAAGATTTAAAACTCTCAAACCATGATCTTTCTAAAATGAATGGAAGGTAATGCCACCCAACAACTGAAAAGGTGGCATTTATGGTTCAGAGCTTGATGGAATCCACAACCTTTAGCTATAACAAGTATCTGCAGAAGTGACAGGTTTTGGTGTCAGCTTAAAAAAATGGCAGTATAAAGTACAAATGAGCAATCTCCAGTTCTCTCTTCTAGAAAAAAATTCAGCAGTCCAAGCCTTACATCCACCTGCCAGTTTTGGCTTAATCCCCTACTGAAAAATGGGGGTGTTGGTTTTCCTAGCCCCATGAGAAGTTATCTTGCCCTCTCCTCACAGTTCTAAATTCCCATAGAAATATATATTTTCTTCTTTCCAAACAGGTGATGCAATGGAGAAGGAGAAGCAGGAGTGGTTAATGTCGCTACCAACAGCAAACTATGAAGGAGAAGTGACATTTGACCATCAAACAAATCCAAAAAAACAAGAGAGCAGCCACTCAGAAGATGGAGTGGAAAAGTCCTACACATCTCATCATTTCTTTTCTCTTACTTTACCTAAGAATCTTTATAGGAAACGCAAACCACGAAGTATTGTGAAATTGGGGGAGGGTACCAGTTTGGTTAGAGAAACTAAAATATGCACGAAATGTGGAAAGAGCTTTAGTAGCAATGCTAGCCTTAATGGCCACCAAAGGATGCACATAGCTGAGAAACCATATAGTTGCGAGGAATGTGGAAAGAGCTTTGCTTTATTAGGAAAACTTAATTCTCATAAAAGGATGCACACAGAAGAGAAACCATATAACTGCACAGAGTGTGGAAAGAGCTTCTGCAGCAATGCTAGCCTTAATGGCCATCAAAGGATCCACATAACTGAGAAATCATATAGTTGTGTGGAATGTGGAAAGGACTTCCCTTTAATAGGAAAACTTAATGATCATGAAAGGATTCATACAGGAGAGAAACCATATAAATGCACAGTGTGTGGAAAGAGCTTCCATTTCAAGCCTAGTCTTACCCGTCATGAGAGGATCCACAGAAGGGAGAAAAAATATAGGTGCAACAAGTGTGGAAAGAAATTCTTTGAGAACAGAGAGCTTACCATCCATCAAAGGGTCCACACAGGGGAGAGACCGTATAAATGCCTGGAATGTGGAAAGAGCTTTTTTGACAACAAAGTTCTTATTCGTCATCAAAGGATCCACACCGGGGATAAACCCTATCAATGTCTGGTGTGCGGAAAGAGCTTTAGTCAGATAGGACATCTCAATTCTCATAAAAGAATCCACACAGGGGAGAGGCCCTACAAATGTATGCAGTGTGCAAAGAGCTTCCGTTCCAAAAGTTCTCTTAATCGCCATGAGAGGATCCACACAGGGGAGAAAAAGTATAGCTGCAGAGTGTGTGCAAGGAGATTCTTTGAGAACAGAACCCTTGCTATCCATCAAAGGATCCACACAGGGGAGAGACCCTATAAATGCCTGGAGTGTGGAAAGAGCTTTATTGAGAAAGGAAAACTTAATTTTCATACAAGAGTCCACACAGGGGAGCAACCGTATAACTCTATGGGGTATGGAAAGCAGAAAGAAAATCTTACTCATGAAAGAATCCACACAGGAGAGAAACCCTATAAATGTGCAGAATGTGGAAAGAGCTTCTTTAACAAGACTGGTCTTAATGGCCATCAAAGGATCCACATAACTGAGAAACCATATAGTTGTATGGAATGTGGAAAAGCCTTTGCTTTAATAGGAAAACTTAATTCTCATGTAAGGATTCACACAGGGGAGAAACCATATACATGCACAATGTGTGGAAAGAGTTTCCACTTTAGGGGTACTTTTAATCGTCATGAGAAGATCCACAGAGGAGAGAAAAAGCTTAGTTGCCAGGAATGTGGAAAGAGATTCTTTGAGAAGGCAGCTCTTACTATCCATCAAAGGATCCACACAGGGGAGAGACCATATCAATGCCCAGTGTGTGGAAAGAGCTTTTTTGACAACAAAGTTCTTACTCGTCACCAAAGGATCCACACAGGGGAGAGACCGTATAAATGCCTGGAGTGTGGAAAGAGCTTTACTCAGAAAGGGCATCTTAATTCCCATAAAATAACTCACACAGGGGAGAGGCCCTATACATGCACAGAATGTGGGAAAAACTTCAGTTTCAAAAGTTCTCTTAATCGCCATGAGAGGATCCACACCGGAGAAAAAGCTTACCCAAAGGGAGTGTGGAAAGAGATTGAGAGCAGAGCCCTTACTATCCATCAAAGGAGCCACGTGGCATAAACTCTATAAATGCCTGGAGTGTGGAATTAGGTTTAGTCAGAAAGGCCAAGTTATTTCTCATAAAAGAATCCATATTATGGAGATACCATATACAGCTAGTCCTCAACTGTTCATTTAATGGCCATTCAAAGTTACAACGCACAAATGAAATAAAAGGAGAAAAGTTGCCTGACACCAGTTTTCACTCTTAAGACCATTGCAAAATCCTCATGATCATGTAATCAAAGTTCAGATGCATGGCAACTGGTTCATATTACCATTGTTGTGTCCCAAGATCATGTGATCACCTTTTGCAACCTTCTGACAAGCAAAGTCAATGGGGAAGCCAGATTCAGTTAACCACCAGCTTACTAACTTGCTAACTGCAACGATTCACTTAATGGTGGCCAGAAAGGTCGTAAAATGGAGCAAAAACTAAGAAATGTCTCATTTAACAGAAATTTTGGACTCCATTGTCATAAGTCAAGTATTTTCATTTATTATTCTTGCGGCATCCAGGGTCATGTGATTTCCATTTGGAAACTTACAAACAAGCACAGTCAACGTGGGAAAGCAGTTTCACTTAACAACCACATGTATGGTTGTTAACTGACCGATCATACTTGAGAACAGCAGTGGTTTGATGAATGATTGTGGCATAAAAGGTTGCAAACTGGGTAACAAGTGACTTAATTGCCTTACTTAGCAATGTTGGACTCAATTGTGGGTATATGTTGAGAACTACCTGTATTACTGTCCTTCAATCTAAAATATTAAAAAAAACTTGATTTCATTAATTGATTTTGTTGGTGGAGAGAGGTGCTTGTACCCCATGAGCAAATTATGTTCCTCCTGAAATTTGAAGCCTTTATAACAGCATTTAAGCCACTTATAAAGCAGAGCTTCCAGCTACTCTAAATGTGATTTTGACCCATAATAAGGGTCAAATAATGTCCTGGTTTTTTTTCCGTGCTCTTTGTATGGATTGGTGAATATTATTATACATTATTGCATTTGATTTCATTATTATGGAGTAGTGCTCCACTATTTTCTGACTTTAATTGTCCAAAAATGGAAGTCGTGTTTTTTTTAAACTTGTTTTAATCTGCAGAATTACGAAGTAATTGGAGATGTTAAAATGCAAACCTGCGTAGAGTAAATAGCCAAACAGGACTGCCACTCACTCTTTAAAAATCACCTGGGCCTTGGCATATAACCTTGTATGCAGCAGATTAGCTAATAAGACTATATTGGACTGGTGGCATTCATAGTTTTAAATCTTGCCGAACCGCCTGACAAGGAATTGTTACTATTCCTTAGCTGCAGACAAAAGAGATTCATTTGGTCTCACCACTAGAAATTAAATAACCAAATCCAATAGTCTTATTGATATAACTAAAAAACGAGAGAAGGGGTTTTTTTGGCATGCAGTTACACAGAATGAAGCATAAGAATAAGTACATTCAAATTTTGGCTGCATTTGTTGTAAATCTTAAAGTCTTTGTTAATGACACCCCAAGGAGCTAGAAGCTGCTTTGGATGAAATTTCAAAGTTACAATGAAAAAATGAAATAAAATGACGAACGTGATTTAGACCAATTTTCATGCTTCATGATTGTTGCAACATCCCCATGATCACGTGATTAAAATTCAACTGACATGCATTTATCGTGGTTGCAGCATCCAGGGTCATGTGATCTCCATTGGTAAATTTCCACCAAGCACAGTTAATGGACAAAGGCAGATTCACTGAACAACCATACATATGGTTGCTAACTGAACAACCATACTTGAGAACCCTAGTGATTTTATAAATGAATGTTGTATAAAAGGTTCCAAACTAGGGCACGACTCAATTATCTATCTATCTTAGCAACGGAAATGTTGGGCTCAATTGTGGGTGTAAGTTGAGAACTACCTGTATTTCTGTCCTTCCCTTTGAAATATCAAGAGTTGATTCCATTAACTGATTGTGTTGGGGGGGGGGGTGTTAATTCCTAATGAGTATTTTTTTTGTTTCCTGAAATCTCACTAATAAAGCAGAACTTCTAGAAACTCCAAAGAAACTATGTGATCGGGCTTAGTTTTGGGGGAGGAAATTAAGTGGGGGGGGGGAATTCTGCCTACCAGCATCCATCGGTATTCATCTAGCTAGCATCCAGTCAGTATGAGAGTTGAGGGCTGTTTGGAAATATTTGAAGCTACTATACCTTTATATCGATGGATGCTGATAGGCAGAGGCAGAATTCCCCCCCACACCTTAAATCTTTAGTGAGATTCATAGCCTTTGGTTGGTAGCTCAACAGCTTCCAAGGACCTAGGAACTGTTCAGGTAGCATCGAAGGATATAAGCTGTTCCAAATAGGGTGGGTTTTTTTGTAAAATCAGGGTATTATTATTATTATTATTATTATTCCTTGTTTTCTCCATCTTAATTTATTAAGATGGCTGGAATTGGACAGTTTTGGTAAGCAGATCACACCATTTACTGTTCAGAACATGGGAAACGAAGAACTGACATTGCTTTCAAACCCAAGAAGGTGTATTATCACCCATCATTTGTTTACCTTCCCATCTAAAAAGCCATTCCGTCATAATCCTTCAACCTACCATATTTCCCTGCCTATTAATGGGTTTATGGTGAGGCTGCTTCCCTGGTTGAGGACAAGCACTTCTTGCCATTTCCTTTTTGGTGCACCTCTGCTTCCTCGCTAAGGATCAACAGCGAACTCTCAAGCACCCTATCAAGATCTTCTACCTCCCTTCTGAGAGGTTATTTTCTGTATGTTCTCTACTATCTCTGTGTCTGGTCTTTTTCTTTTCTTCCAAAGATTTAGCTCAGAGGTCTCCAAACTTGGAAACTTTAATCCTTGCCTTAAAGTTGCCAAGTTTGGGGACCCCTGATTTAGCCTTTTTGTTTGCTTTTTCTGAGGGGGGGGGGAGAAAGAGTAAATGAATACTTCAGCCATAACAACACAAGAGCACACAATAGATACAAACTCAAGGTTAACTGCACCAAACTTGATTGCAGGAAATGCGACTTCAGCAACAGAGTGGTCAATGTATGGAATACTCTACCTGACTCTGTGGTTTCTTCCCCAAACCCCAAAAACTTTAACCTTAGACTGTCTACTATTGACCCCACCCCTTTCCTAAGAGGTCTGTAGGGGACATGCATAAGCGCACCAACGTGTCTACGTCCCTGTCCTATTGTTTCTTTTATTTTTCTTATATGTACCCATTTCATGTATTCATAACTATGTATATATTTATACTTATTATCTTCTAAGCAATTGACAAATCAAAATACATAAATAAAGGGATATGAGATCTGCCCCTTTGCAAGTAGTACCGTGGCAAATTAATCACCACTGAAGCTTCCTTGGGGATGTCAGGGAAGAAATCCCTTGATGTTACAAGTCTTGGCATTTTAGTAATAAACGTTTTCTTTAACCTGTAATCCTCTCGGCATTGCCTTTCATGAGTCTTTTCTCCCCTTATCTGAATCTGTCATGACCTGCTGAGTCTGACATTTAAACACAGCTGGGGGAGAAACCCAGCCCATGTATTGTTTTTCTTTTAAACTTGTACAGTTGAACCTGTTCTACTCTTCAGGAATCAACCAGCCACAAACAACCAAAGCGAAAAGGTGTAAAGATATATATATATAAAAAGGCGTGATCAGAACAAGAAATAAAAAAACAAAAGAAAGCAGGTAAAGGTCAGCTCTAGAAAAAAAGTTGTCATGTGAGTTGTCATCCCAGGAATCCTTCTAATGCAATTTATTTTGTCGTCCTTGTTTTAATCGCTGTCAATATAAATAAATTGGCCTAAAAGAATCTCCTTAAGGTTTACTTGCCTGTTTATTCGATAGCAAATGAATGAATTTACTGTCTGTTTCGGGAGCACATCCACATTTCCAAGAGATTCTGTGAGAAACAGACAAGGACACAAGTAGGAGAAGTTTTCATCCAAAGGTCGCTTTGTTTATTACAACACGCGCGCGCGCGCACACACAATGTCCATCATCCACGACCTCCTCAATACTCCTTTCATCGCATCCCCCCACCCCAACATAATACTCCGCCGGCGCAGGAGTTCGGTCGATCTTTGACGTCACAACCGAAATGAGC